TGTGTGAGAAAATTGTCCGCGCAGCAAAAGCCGGCGAAGCGTGCGGGAGCTCGCATGCTGAGACAGACTACGTCTGCAGACCGCCAGCTGCAAAAGGTTGCGAGCGGCTCTTGGAAGATGTTTACGGAACGGAGCTACGGTGTCTGAAAACATTGGCATCGAAGCGAAGAGCCTCGGAGCCCTGCAACCTGAGAAACACCGCAGGAACTCGCATACTGAAAAGGAATGCATTGCAAACCGCACGCTGCGAACCCTGCAGGCTGAGAAGCACCGCAGGATGTCGCATGCTGAAAAGCACTTGTACTGCAGAGCGCTAGCACTCCATCTCGGGCTCGGACCCCCCCGTCCTGATCCAGAACGTGTCCGGCCACGGCCTGAAAATGCCGTTCCAACTCCCGAGGATCAGCTGGCACTCCGGCTCTGGGACACTCCAGTACGTCTTGAGCACCTTGAGCCAGGCCCCATCTCGGGATCCCCACAGCACGCTGTACTTGACCGAGACCGTGCCGAACTCATAACAATTGACCTCCGAAGGACCTGCGATGCGGTGGTTCTGAGCCAGGACGAGGTCCGCATGGTCGAGCGTCGGCACCGTACGCCCATGCCCAGACGGACCATCCACGGCGAGCCACATCATCTGAGACAGCGTCTGGAGGGCGGTCGACAGGCGACTGGCGACTGGCGACGACGAGCTAGTCTTGGACTGTCAGGAACGCTACACGACCAAAAGAAAACGAAGCGCGACCGAGGAAACACCAGAGCTCCTAGCTGGGAGGCGAGATCAAGGGGGACGAGGAAGAAGGGAAGAGGAGGAGGAGGAAGAGTCAGAGCAAGAGTAACGGTGAGAGTAAGAGTCAGAGTAAGAGTAAGGCGAACTGCACGAGTCGGAGTAAGAGCCAGGGCAAGAGGCCCCCCAAGCGGCCCCAAGAGGCCCCCAAGAGGCCCCCAAGAGGCCCCCAAGAGGCCCCAAGAGGCCCCCAAGAGGCCCCCAAGAGGCCCCCAAGAGGCCCCCAAGAGGCCCCACGAGGCTCCAAGAGGCCCTCCAAGGGCTGGTGGTACTCGGCTTTTAATCATGTGGTGGGAGGGCGGAACGCGAGGGCTTACGGCCGCCCTTCGGGTTTGATCACTGCTCCTTATCAATCCCACCAGCCCTTTGGGCGTGAGTGGTTTAGGGAGCCCGCTCTGTTCTCAACCCCCCTTCTTCCCCTTCGGGGAGGGGTTTACCCCCCCCCCTACCCCCTCCCCCTGGGCCTGGAGAGGGCGCCCCGCGGGTCGTTTGAGGGGTCTTTTTCGACTCCTGGGAGGGCTAAAAAAACGACGACCCTCACGAGGATTCTGGCCCCGACGGGGGGGCACCGTCTGGTCCCCCTCCTCTTCTTTAAAGCCAGAATCATTGATTGTACTACGGTTTTGGCCCCATTTTGGCGTCCTGAGGGGGCCGCGCTCATCTTCCTTCACAGCAAAATCATTGATTTTACGAAGGTTTTCGGCTCATTTTGTCCTTCTCAGGGGGCAGCTCTCATTTGCGCTTTTGAGGAGGTCGCAAGAGGCCCCAAGATGGCCCCAAGAGGCCCCCAGGAGGCTCCCAAGAGGCCTCCAAGAGGCCCCCAAGAGGCCCCCAAGCGGCCCCAAGAGGCCCCCAAGAGGCCCCCAAGAGGCCCCCAAGAGGCCCCAAGAGGCCCCAAGAGGCCCCCAAGAGGCCCCAAGAGGCTGAGAAGCACCGCAGGAACTCGCATGCTTTCGAACACTACTGCTCGAGACCGCAGCTGGAGAGCGGCAGACCGCAGGCTGAGAAGCACCGCGGGCAGGGAGACTTGCAAAACTCAGATGTCCTGATCGTCTTGGAGGAAGTCACGCCAGTCCGGCGGCTGCCAAGAATCGATGATGCGCCTGGAGCCACCGCCCGTGCTGCCGCCGATGTCCAGGTAGTCGCCATCGGCCCTGAACAGACGGCCGTGCCCCAACGCCAGAATCGCTTGGTTGCGGATTTGAAGCAGCTCTCCGCTCTCAAACATCTGCAACACGTCCAGCTGCCTGCGCGTGAAGTTCGGCTTTGGCTGGCCAGCCTGGGCAGACAGATGGCGGGAAAGCCGCCCCCCCTCGTTGTAGCGCGCGATGGCCTCGGCCTTCTGGTGGTGCAGCCGGCGCCGCTGTTGCCGCAGAGCTTCCTCGGGAACTGCTGCATCACGGCCCTCACTGTGATCAGCTTGCAACGCTTGCGTTAGCCAATCAACGTCGAAGCGCCCTGAGAAGGCCAGCACCTCCCAGATCTGTTTGGTACCGGCCACACGTTGCAAATGGCGATGCCACCGCTTACGCTTCTGGTCTTTCACAAACTTGGCGACGCTACCCAGACCTGCACCCTTGGCCTGGCCACCTTTTCCCGCAGGCTGAGAAGCACCGTGAGAACCTTTCTTACCGCCTGGCCCTTTGTTAGGACCCTGCGGAACCGCATGGCCCCCTTGTGGCGCAGACTTGCCTCTCGCTTTTCCCTTTTCGACATCCCGTTCCTGAAGCGCACGCTGCTGCCGCGACTGCTCGTACTGGTCGCGAGCTACT